TCTCCCACCCTGGACATTCCACAGATATATAAACCTCACTTGCCTAGTTTCCAACAGACTTCACAACCTCTGAGGATGCCTGCCATAGATGTGGGCGAAAGGTCAGGAGAGAATGCTTCTGGAACATGGCCATACAGCCCAGAAAACTCACAGCAACCCAATCTTGTGAACAACTGATCATATCCTTGACAAGATGTGAATGTGTTTCTTTTCTGGGGAAGAATTAATATAATTTGACGTCACTTTAACTACCATGGCTCAATGCCATGGAATCATAAGAGTTGTAGTTTTACAAGTGTTTCTTTTTTTAAGCCTTCTATGCCTCACCAAACGATAACTCCCAGGATCCCATAGTATTGAACCACAGCAACTAAAGTAGTGTCATATTAAAATCTCTCCGTATTGACGTATATGTATCAGAACAGGATGTCTCAAGATCTGCAATATCCTTTCTCATAGAAGATGGGGAAAATGGTGTCAAACCCCCCCCCCATTTTAAATCAATAGCAGGGCAATGGGTCAAGAAATGACCTCTCTCTGCCCCTTTCCTCCAGAAAGAATGGTGGAAGCTGATGGCAGAAGCTGGGCTTTGCCTCTCTCTCAGTAGCAACCTTTAACCCTTTTCGAGAGCAAGGACCAGGCTTATCTCTTCCAGGAAAAGGTCCAAAGAATCTTGCGGCACTCGTTTCTGTGCACAGAAAGGAAGGAGGAAGGAAGATCTGTTTCTCTTAAGCTCAAAACAACAGTAGTTTATTTCATCCCTGTTCCAATCTTCTTTCTTACTTCTTTACTGACAACAACAAAAACAACAACATCTGGACAATATGTAGACCTTTGATTCCAACATCATCACCCCTATTCTCCTCCTGTATAATTGGAATGCCTGGGGTGGGAGAAAGAACTCTTGTCTGGTTGAGGCAAGTGTGAAGGTTGCAATTGGCCACCTTGATTAGCATTGAATGGCCTTACAGCTTCAAAGCCTGGCTGCTTTCTGCCTGGGGGATACTTTGTTGGGAGGTGTTAGCTGGCCCTGATTGTTTCCTGCCTGGAATTCTCCTGTTTTTCTGAGTGTGGTTCTTTATTTACTGGCAGGAAGCAGCCAGGCTTCAAAGCTGCAAGGACCTGGCCTGTCTGGGCTAGACAAGAATGTCTATTCGAAACAACAAACAATAACTCAGGCCAGGCTTGAGAGCCTAAAGCTATCACCCAGCCATCTAGCAAACACTATTCACCTTAATCCTATTTTTTCTCTCCTTCCTTTCATTGTTTCCCATCGGACCCGCCTCTTGCCTCCCCATTGACTGAGCAGCCGAAGTGGGGCTAGTGCTCTGATTGGACAGAATGCTGTCGCCCTCAGCCGCTCCTCCCAACCAGCTGATGTCTCCACCAATCAGCACGAAGCCGGCTTAGCGGGGCAGGAATGGGAAATTTGAATTTGACAGCTCTGTGTTTCTATAAATATTGTGTTTCTTTGCCCAGCGGGTCATGTTGGCTCCTCGGCAAATGATTGTGGTCATCATCCTTTCCAGCTGGAATGAAATAAACATCTCAGTGGCTTTCCTTCAACTTGGTGAGACTTTATTTGGGGGAAAATAGGGAAAAATCTTTTTGAGTGCTTGTCTTGCCAGGTGTCCCGGATCCTCTTTCTTGGGTCTGGCTGGTCTCTGCCTCTACAGAGCACCCCAAATTCGTGTTCGACATCAACACTGCTATATAATCCAGTTCAATGTGGATTTTATACAGCTGCATGGAAAGTGCCATGGTGTAATTTTTTAGAGTACTAAGTAACAGTTTGGGGACTGGGTTGTTCTGAGTTTTTCGGGTCATATGGCCATGCTACTGAAGCATTCTCTCCTGATGTTTCACCTGCATCTATGTTTCACCTGCATCACCTGCATCCTCAGAGGTTGTGTGGGCTGTTGGAAACCAGGAAAATTGGGTTTATATATCTGTGGAATGTCCAGGGTGGGAGAAAGAACTCTTGTCTGTTTGAGGTAGGTGTGAATGTTGCAATTGGCCACCTAGATTAGCATTTAGGGTTTCCCCCTGACATTAAGTCTTATGGGGGTGGTGCTCTTTTCCATTTCTAAGCCGAAGAGCCGGCATTGTCTGTAGACACCTCCAAGGTCACGTGGCCGGCATGACTGCATGCAGCATCGTTCCCTTCCCGCCAGAACGGTACCTATTGATCTACTCTCATATGAATGTTTTTGAACTGTCAGCTTGGCAGAAGCTGGGGCTAACAGTGGGAGCTCACGCTGCCCCCCGGATTCGAACTTGTGATCTTTCGATCTACAAGTTCAGCAGCTCAGCAGTTTAACCCGCTGCACCACCAGGGGCTCAGCTAGATCTATCGATCTATCTATCTATCTATCTCCATCCATCCATCCATCCATCCATCTATCAATCCATCATCTATCATCTGTAACTACTATCCCTCTCTGATCTATCTATCTATCTCTATCCATCCATCATCTATCATCTGTAACTACTATATCTCTCTGATCTATCTATCTATCTCTATCCATCCATCATCTATCATCTGTAACTACCACCTCTCTCTCTGATCTATCTATCTATCTCCATCCATCCATCCATCCATCCATTCATCATCTATCATCTGTAACTACCATCTCTCTCTCCGATCTATCTATCTATCTATCTATCTATCTCCATCCATCCATCTATATCCACCCATCCATCCATCATGTATCATCTGTAACTACCACATCTATCTCCTATCTGCCTGTTTATCTATTTCCATCCATCCATCCACCCATCATCTATCATCTGTAACTACCATCTCTCTCTCTCCTATCTATCTATCTATCTATCTATCTATCTATCCATCCATCCATCCATCCATCCATCATCTATCATCTGTAACTACCATCTCTCTCCGATCTATCTATCTCCATCCATCCCATCTATCTATCTATCTATCTATCTATCTATCTATCTATCCATCCATCCATCCATCCATCATGCATCATCTGTAACTGCCTCTCTCTGATCAATCTATCTCCATCCATCCATCTATCCATCCATTCATCCATCCATCATCTATCATCTGAAACTACCATCTCTCTCTCTGAGTGATTGATCGATCTATCTCTTTCCATCCATCTATCCACCCATCATCTATCATCTGTAACTACCCCTCTCTCCGATCTATCTATCTATCTATCTATCTATCTATCTATCTATCTATCTCTATCCATCCATCCATCCACCCATCATCTATCAGCTGTAACTAACATCTCTCTGTCTGTCCGATCTATCTATCTGTCTGTCTGTCTCCATCCATCAATCCATCCATTCAATATCTATCATCTGTAACTACCATCTCTCTCTTCGATCTGTCTGTCTATCTATCTATCTATCTATCTATCTATCTATCTCCATCCATCCATCCATCCTTCAGCTATCATCTGTAACTACCATCTCTCTCTCCGATCTATCTATCTATCTATCTATCTATCTATCTCCATCCATCCATCTATATCCACCCATCCATCCATCATGTATCATCTGTAACTACCACATCTATCTCCTATCTGCCTGTTTATCTATTTCCATCCATCCATCCACCCATCATCTATCATCTGTAACTACCATCTCTCTCTCTCCTATCTATCTATCTATCTATCTATCTCCATCCATCCATCCATCCATCCATCCATCATCTATCATCTGTAACTACCATCTCTCTCCGATCTATCTATCTCCATCCATCCCATCTATCTATCTATCTATCTATCTATCTATCTATCTATCCATCCATCCATCCATCCATCATCTGTAACTGCCTCTCTCTGATCAATCTATCTCCATCCATCCATCTATCCATCCATTCATCCATCCATCATCTATCATCTGAAACTACCATCTCTCTCTCTGAGTGATTGATCGATCTATCTCTTTCCATCCATCTATCCACCCATCATCTATCATCTGTAACTACCCCTCTCTCCGATCTATCTATCTATCTATCTATCTATCTATCTATCTATCTATCTATCTCTATCCATCCATCCATCCACCCATCATCTATCAGCTGTAACTAACATCTCTCTGTCTGTCCGATCTATCTATCTGTCTGTCTGTCTCCATCCATCAATCCATCCATTCAATATCTATCATCTGTAACTACCATCTCTCTCTTCGATCTGTCTGTCTATCTATCTATCTATCTATCTATCTATCTATCTATCTCCATCCATCTATCCATCCATCCTTCAGCTATCATCTGTAACTATCATCTCTCTCTCTGATTGATTGACTGATTGATTGAACTATCTCCATCCATCTATCCACCCATTATCTATCATCTGTAACTACCATCTCTCTCTCTGATTGATCTATCTCTATCCATCCATCTATCCTTCCATCGTTTATCATCTGTAACTACCCCCTCTCTGATCTATCCATCTATCTATCTCCATCCATCTATCCATCCATCCATCTATCATCTGTAACTACGATCTCTCTCTCTGATCTATCTATCTATCTATCTCCATCCATCCATCCATCATCTATCATCTGTAACTACTGTATATCTCTCTGATTGATCTATCTCTATCCATCCATCCATCTATCTGTATGTCTGTCTGCCTATCTATCTATTTATCCATCTAATCTATCCATCTATCCGTCCTATCTCGCACTCCCTGGGGGAATCCTTTGTTGGGAGGTGATTAGTTAGCCCTGCTTGTTTCTTGTCTGGAATTTTTGAGTGTTGTTCTTTGTTTAATGTTGTGGTTTCAGAGTTTTTTAAAAAATATATTGGTAGCCAGATTTTGTTCATTTTCATGGTTTCCTCCTTTGGGGATGATGGAAATGATGGCTGCAGTGCGCGGTATCAGCCAGAAGGGGGCCGCCTGGGTTGCTTGGCTGCAGCCTCGACGGGGCGGACCAGCAGGTGGCGCTGCAGAGCCGCCTGCCCCAATTGGGCAAGCAGAAGAAGAGGAGGAGGAGGAGGCGGAGGAGGCGCTGCTCCCCTTCCGACGTTATAAAGCCCGGTGGGTCCCGTCCGGCGTGGGATTTGGAGCCATGGCGGCCAACCGGGTGGGCAGAAGGCTGGGGCGGGCTTCTCCGGCGCGGCCGGGCGCGGCGCTCTCCCCGGAAGCCTCCCGCACGGACCGGACCCCGAGCCCCGGCATCCAGAGGCGCCAAGCCCGAGTCACCGTCAAATACGACCGGAGGGAGCTGCAGAGGCGCCTCGACACTGAGAAGTGGATCGACGGCTGGTTGGAGGAGCTCTACCGGGGCCAGGTGGGCAGGAGGCGCATCTACACCAGGCATGGGCCAATTTGGGCTCGCCAGGTGTTTTGGACTCCAACTCCAACCATTCCTAACAGCCTCAGTCCCTTTTCTTTTCCCCCTCAGCCGCTTAAGCGGCTGAGGGAAAAGGGGCCTGAGAGTGTTAGGAATGGTGGGAGCTGGAGTCTACCTTGAGGGTGTTAGGAATGGTGGGAGTTGGAGTCTAAGGGTCCTGAGGCTGTTAGGAATGGTGGAAGTTGGAGTCCAAGACCCTGAGGGTGTTAGGAATGGTGGGAGTTGGAGTCCAAGGGCCTGAGGCTGTTAGGAATGGTGGGAGTTGGAGTCCAAGGGCCTGAGGCTGTTAGGAATGGTGGGAGTTGGAGTCCAGAGGGCCTGAGGCTGTTAGGAATGGTGGGAGTTGGAATCCAAGGGCCTGAGGCTGTTAGGAATGGTGGGAGTTGGAGTCCAAGGGCCTGAGGCTGTTAGGAATGGTGGGAGTTGGAGTCCAAGGGCCCGAGGCGTTAGGAATGGTGGGAGTTGGAGTCCAAGAACCTGAAGGTGTTAGGGATGGTGGGAGTTGGAGTCCAAGACCCTGAGGGTGTTAGGAATGGTTGGAGTTGGAGTCCAAGGGGCCTGTGGCTGTTAGGAATGGTGGGAGTTGGGGTCCAAGGGGCCTGAAGGTGTTAGGAATGGTGGGAGTTGGAATCCAAGGGTCCTGATGCTGTTAGGAATGGTGAGAGATGGAGTCCAAGGGTTCTGAGGCTGTTGGGAATGGTGGGAGATGGAGTCCAAGGAACATGAGGCTGTTAGGAATGGTGGGAGTTGGAGTCCAAAACACCTCGAGGGCCCAAGTTGGCCCATGCCTGCTCTACTTCCAAACTATGTTTGAACTGTGTTAAATAGAGTTGATTGGGATGGGACGATCTTGAGATGCTAACTCAGTAAGGGAAGATGAAGCGCCTGCCTCTTCTGCCTCATCTCCCTTTTGGCAAGCAAGAGGTTAATCCTTTGGAGGCCCTTCTCTTCCTCTCTCTTCCCCAGCTGCTGCCCTCTTTGCCCTCAGGGAAGGAAGGGGCTTGGGGTTGCCATCTGCCCTGATGGGGAGGCGCATCTGGTGTGGGGAGGAAAGCAGCTTGGGTTCCCCCTCCCCTCTCAAGGCAAAAGAAGGGAGAGACATCCCCCTTGTCTAAGCCTTTTTACCTAGACGGAATATAGGCAGTCCCCGAGTTACAAACACCCAACTCTTAGTTAAGAACAGGGGTGAGACAACAGGAAAGGAGAGAAATCTACCCCCAGAAGGAAATTCACTCCTTGGAAGAGTTACCATGGGGGAAAGCGGTCTTCACTGAAGTCTGATCACCAATCTTTGTTTCCACTACAAGTCACATTTTTCAAAATCCAATTATCTCAGGAACAAAAAGTGAAATGAAATCTTCCGAACAGGACACAGACACCCAAACAAACACCACAGGGGTGTTGACCCTTCCCTATGCTATCCAAAGGTTGTGCATGTATGTATGTGTGTGTGTGTGTGTGTGTGTGTTTGTCTGTCTGCACGTACCTGTCTATTTCTATCTGCATCTCATCTATCTATCTGTTTATCTATCTACGTATCTATCTATATCTCTGTAACTTATCTATTTATCTATTTCTGTTTATATCTCATCTATCTGCATATTGATTCCCCCCCCCACCCAAAAAATGAGATTTGAGGTACCTATGTGGTTGCTTATGATGCTTGCTTTTATTGTTTACGATGTTTTTTTGTGTGTGTGTTTTTTTTTTTGTATTTTGTTGTTCTCTTTTTAATTGTATGTTGCCTGGGCTTGACCCATGTAAGCCCTGAGTCCCTTCGGGAGATGGAGGCAGTTTATTTATATATTAATTTACATTCCTATCTTTCTTCTATCTATCTTTCTTCTATCTTCTATCTATCTATCTATCTATCTATCTATCTATCTATCTATCTATCTATCATCTATCTATCTATCTATCTATCTGTATCTCATCTATCTGTCTATCCATCTGCTTATCTATCTATCTATCTATCTATCTATCTATCTATCTATCTATCTATCTATCTCTATCTGTATCTCATCTATCTATCTATCTATCTATCTATCTATCTATCTATCTATCTATCCATCCATCTATCTGTTTCTGTCTGTATCTCATCTGTTTATCTATCTATCTGGTTATCTATCTATCTATCTATCTATCTATCTATCTATCTATCTATCTCTATCTGTATCTCATCTATCTATCTATCCATCTATCTGTTTCTGTCTGTATCTCATCTATCTGTCTATCCATCTACTTATCTATCTCTATTTGTACATCATCTATCTATCTGTATATCCATTTACATATATCTATCTCTATCTGTACCTCATCTATCTATCTGTCTGACTATCTATTTATATCTGTATCTCATCTCTCTATCTCATCTATCTCATCTATCTACCTGCCTACTGTCTGATTAACTATTTCTATCTCATCTATCTATCTGCCTATCTGCCTATTTCTCTAGCTCTGTATCTCATCTGTCTCTCTATCTGTCTCTTATGTATCTATCTATCTACGTATCTATCTATCTATCTATCTATCTATCTATCTATCTATCTATCTATCCATATCTGTATCTCATCTATCTACTTCTCTCTCTCTCTCTCTCTCTGTATCTCATCTTTCTGTCTATCTATCTGTCTGACTATCTCTATCTGTATCTATCTATCTATCTATCTATCTATCTATCTATCTGACTGTATCTCATCTACCTGCCTACCTGACTATCTCTATCTGTATCTCATCTATCTACCTGCCTACCTGACTATCTGTCTCTCTCTCTCTATCTACCTGCCTATCTATCTATTTATATCTGTATCTGTATCTCATCTATCTACCTGCCTATCTGTCTATCTCTCTATCTGTATCTCATCTATTTCAAATTGAAATAAGAGAATGCACAAAGTATAGACTTACTACAAAATAGACAAAATTTCAATTCCTGAGTGTATTAAAGAATTAGGGAAAGCAAACTCTTGTGTGTGTAGCTGGAGTTACACTTGATCATGTACCTGTTCCAACTTACATACACATTCAACAAATCTACAGAACCTATCTTTCTCATAACTTGGGGACTGCCCGTACTGTGTGAGGGGTGGAAGCCAAAGGCAGTGGGGAGATGCTTTCAGCATATAGCCTGGATGTTCTGATAGGAGATGTGGTTGGGTGATCGCATATCCCATCGTGCCCAAACAATATCCTACCTGGCAAGAATAGGAGCTCGGAATCATAGAATCCTAGAATATTTGGTTGGATGATCACAAATCCCATCATGCTTGAACAGCATCCTACCTGGGGAGAATGGAAGCTCAGAGTAATAGAATCCTAGAGTTGGAAGAGACCCCCAAGGGCCATCCAGTCCAACCCCATCCTACCAGGCAAGTACACAACAGATGGCCATTCAGCCTCTGTTTGAAAACCTCCAGAGAAGGAAATTCTACATCACTCTAAGGCAGCATATTCCACTATTGAGCATTCCTAACCTTTTGGAAGTTCATCCTGATGTTTAGGTAGAATCTTGTCATTTTGAACCATTGAACCTCTTCCCTTGTTGGTGGGCCTTCCATCCCAGCCTTGGTTCTCTTCCTTGCCCAAAGAGTCTCCCTTCCTCTTAGGTTCCTCCCTTGGTGTGTTCCAACATCTTCCACATCTGGTTGATTCTAGTGTCCCTCAACCAGGAAATCAGGAACAGTCTGTAAATAAGACTCACCTGGTCTATTACAGGTAATGGTATACTGAATCCAAGGCTTGAAGGCCCGGGTCCTTGGGATTAGCAGAATCTGTAACAGGTATGGGCCAACTTGGGCCCTCGAGGTGTTTTGGACTCCAACTCCCAGCATTCCTAACAGCCTCAGGCCCCTTGGACTCCAACTCCCAGCATTCCTAACAGCCTCCAGCTCCCTGGACTTCAACTCCCAGCATTCCTAACAGCCTCAGCCCCCTTGGACTCCAACTCCCACCATTCCTAACACCCTCAGGCCCCTTGGACTCCAACTCCCAGCATTCCTTACAGCCTCAGGCCCCTTGGATTCCAACTCCCACCATTCCTAATTCCCCCAGGACCCTTGGACTCCAATTCCCACCATTCCTAACAGCCTCAGGCCCCTTGGACTCCAACCCCCACCATTCCTAATGTCCTCAGGCCCCTTGGACTTCCACTCCCACCATTCCTAACAGCCTCAGGCTCCTTCCTTCACCTCTTAGCCACTTAAGCAGCTGAGGGGAAAAAGGAAAGGACCTGAGGCTGTTAGGAATGGTGGGAGTTGGAGTCCAAAACACCTGAAGGGCCCAAATTTGCCCATGGCTGGTCTATAGCATCAAATGCCACTTTGGTTTACTCTCTTTCATCCTATATTCTCCAAAGTTACTAGAAGGGGAGATTAATATCCTCAGCAGTAGTTGTATTGGGGTGTTGTGTGGCTTCTGAGCTGAGAGTGAAGGAAAAGAAGAAAGAGAAGTAAGTAAAAGAAAGGGAAGGAATTCATAAACCATGGCGTAGTGGTTTGAAGCTCAGACTGTGGCCCTGAAACCACAGGGTGACTTTAGTCAAGAGTGTCCTTTCAACCTCAGAAGAAGAAAAATACATTTTCAAAGTGTGTAGGGTTGAATCCATGGGTGCGGAACCTGAGGATACAGAGGGCCAATTACACTGCTGGTTATGGAACAGTTGGGCTTTGTCCCAAGGCATGTTGTGAAATGGTTCCTTTTTGCCTATTGTTTACCATCAGCCTGTGCTACGCCTCTGTGGCACTTGTATTTGCATGATGGACTACTTCCTACTGGTGCAATTTGATTATTTTAGGCTCTGAAGGTAATAGTGGGTTGTTGTAGGTTTTTCAGGTTGTATGGCCATGTTCTAGAAGCATTCTCTCCTGACATTTCACCTGCATCTGTGGCAAGCATCCTCAGAGATTGTGAGGTCAAACCTCACAACCTCTGAGGATGCTTGCCATAGATGCAGGCAAAATGTCAGGAGAGAATGCTTCTATAACATGGCCATACAATCTGAAAAACCTACAACAACCCAATGATTCTGACCATGAAAATTTTCAACTTTACTCTAAAGGTAATAGCCCGAGAGTTTCCATTCCTTTAAATGGCTGGGTTGCTGTGAGCTTTCCCGCCTGTATGGCCATGCTCCAGAAGCATTCTCTCCTGATGTTTTGCCCACAACTATGGCAGGCATCCTCAGAGATTGTTAAGTCTGCTGGAAACTAGGCAAGTGGGGTTTATATATCTGTGGAATGTCCAGGGTGGGAGAAAGAACTCTTGTCTGCTTGAGACAAGTGTGAATGTTGCAATTGGCCACCTTGATTAGTATTGAATAGCCTTGCAGCTCAAAGCCTGGCTGTTTCTGGGGGAATGCTTTGTTGGGAGGCATTAGCTGTCCCTGATTTTTCCTTGTCTGGAATTCCCCTGTTTTTTGAGTGTTGCTCTTTATTTACTGTCCTGATTTTAGAAGTTTTTTAAAATACTGGTAGCCAGATTTTGTTCATTTTCATGGTTTCCTCCTTTCTGTTGAAATTTCAATTCTGGAATCAAATTCTAAACCAGGTTGAATATGAACAAAATCTGGCTACCAGTATTAATTTAAAACTCTAAAATCAGGACAGTAAATAAAGAGCAGCACTCAAAAAATCAGGGGAATTCCAGACAAGGATCAATCTGAGCCGGCTAACACCTTCCAACAAAGGATTTCTCCAGGCAGGAAGCAGCTAGGCTTTGAAACTGCAAGGCTATTCTAGGTGGCCAATTGCAACATTCACACTTGCCTCTAGCAGACCAGAGTTCTTTCTCTTACCCTGGACATTATTCCACAGATATATAAACCTCACTTGCCTAGTTTCCAAAAGACCTCACAACCTCTGAGGATGCCTGCCATAGATGTGGGTGAAACGTCAGGAGAGAATGCTACTGGAACAATGGCCATACAGCCTGACAAACTCCCAGCAACCCAGTGATTCCAGACATGAAGGCCTTCAGTAACAAGACTGGAATCCCATTTTTTTAGTCCCATTATCATTTATAGGTAGCTTTATTCTAGTTCAGAGTAATGTTGGATGCTTCACAACCAAAGTACGTGACTTTGGACGTGAAGGATACAATGAATGTTTCTCTCCCCACTCAACTCTTTGTAACTGTGCTTAATGTGTTCTTGTTTCCAAATGCAGTAGTCAAAACAGTTTCCCAGTCTTGTTTCACATTTTAAATACACTTAAATCATAAGAGCTTCATGACTACGAGTAGAATTGGCTTCTGCTATTCTGATGCAATGCACATATTTGGGATGAAAACATCAACTTTGCTGTAGAGGAGGGTAATAAAATGAGCTTCCAATGATGGTCTGAGCTGACCCTGGGCTGCAAAAGTGGCGTTGACATTAGTGGCTTCTATTTTTTTTTTCATGTCAGGAGCAACTTGAGAAACAGTAAGTCGCTTCTGGTGTGAGATAATTGGCCGTCTGCAAGGATGTTGTCCAGGGGATGCTTGGATGTTTTACCTTCCTGTGGGAAGCTTCTCTCATGTCCCTGCATGGGAAGCTGGAGCTGACAGATGGGACCTCACCCCACTCCCCAGATTTGACCCACTGACCTTTCAGTCAGCAGTTCAGCTGGCACAAGGGTTTAACCCATTGTGCCACATGTCTTCTAATAAGACCCTGCCTTCCCAAATGCTCCTGTCATAGCCCCTTCTTTCTCCTTGTTACTGCTTAGTTATACTCCTCTTTGTGGGTTCTAGAAATGTGTGTATATGTATAGTCCCTACGCAGGTTGCAGAGAAAAGGTTAATGGGGAAGTATGGGATGTTCCCACAGCCTATTCCTTGACTTCATGGCAGCCTCCAAAGTTTCTGTTCTCTTTCTACTCTGAGCAGAAAGCTATCTCCAAGGGGGCAGGGAAGGGACTGATGGCGGGAATGCAGCCTATCTCTGAAAGCGGCGCCTCCTCTCTCCAAATCTTCCATGAAAGGACAGGGTTTCCAGTCTGACTGCCTTTCCTCATCCCCAGGGAGTCAGGCTTGGCTGCCTGGCTGGTTCCGCAGTGGCAAAGCCAGGCTTCCTTGTGCTCAGGCCTGTGCCACAAGTGATGCAAGGGGTGCCGTGCTTGCTTTCTGTCACCCACTCAGTGCCCATTAATGAGGGTGCGGTTCCGAGTTGTGGCACCTTTAGAGACCATGCACATGTCTCCTTTTGCTCCTGCACAAGGTCTTGCGCATTGGTTTAGAGCAGCATTTCTCAACTTGAGGGTCAGGACCCATGGAGTGGGTCACGAGGGAGGTATCAGAGGGGTTGCCAAAGATAATCAGTAAACACGGTATTTTCTGTTGGTCATAGGGGTTCAAATCTGGGCATATCGGGTATGCATGCTAAGTTTGGTCCAGATCCATTGTTTGGGTTCATAGTGTGCTCTGGATGTAGGTGAACTACAACTCCTATAAATCCCTCCAAAGACCTCCAGTATTTTTGTTGGTCATGGTGGGTTCTGTGTGGAAGATTTCGCTCAATTCCATCATTGGTGGGTTCAGAATGCTCTTTGATTGTAGATGAACTATAAATTCCAGCAACTACAACTCCCAAATGTCAAGGGCTATTTCCCCCAAACTCCAGCAGTGTTCACATTTGGGCATACTGAGTATTCATGCCAAGTTTGGTCCAGATCCATCATTGTTTGAGTCCACAGTTCTCTCTGGATGTAGTTGAACTACAACTCCAAAACTCAAGGTCAATGCCCACCAAACCATTTTCTGTTGATTGTGGGGGTTCTCTGTGGGAAGTTTGGCTCAATTCTACCATTGGTGGGGTTCAGAATACTCTTTGATTGTAGGTTAACTAGAAATCCCAGCAATTACAACTCCCAAATGTCAATGTCTATGTTCCCCAAACTCCACCAGTGCTCACATTTGGGTATATTGAATATTTATCCCAAGTTTGGTCCAGATCCATCATTGTTTGAATCCATAGTGCTCTCTGGATGTAGGTGAACTACAACTCCCAAACTCAAGGTCAATGCTCACCAAAACCTTCCAGTATTTTCTGTTGCTTGTGGGACTTCTGTGTGCCAAGTTTGGTTCAATTCCATCGTTTTTGGAGTTCAGAATGCTCTTTGATTGTAGGTGAACTATAAATCCCAGCAACTACAACTCCCAAATGTCAATGTCTGCTTTCCCCAAACTCCACCAGTGTTCATATTTGGGCATATTGAATTTTCATGCCAAGTTTGGTCCAGATCCTCATTGTTTGAGTCCACAGTGCTCTCTGGATGTAGGTGAACTACAACTCCAAAACTCAAGGTCAATTCCCACCAAATCCTTCCAGTATTTTCTGTTGGTCATGGGAGTTCTGTGTGCATAGGTAAAGGTTGTCCCCTGATATTAAGTCCAGTCCTGTCTGACTCTGGGGGTTAGTGCTCATCTCCATTCTAATCTGAAGAGCCAACGTTGTCCATAGACACCTCCATGGTCATCTGGCCGGCATGACTGCATGGAGCACTATTACCTTCTCGCCGGAGTGGTACCTATTGACTCACATTTGCATGTTTTCAAACTGCTAGGTTGGCAGAAGCTGGAGCTAACAGCGGGAGGTCACACCACTCCCTGGATTCAAACCTGTGACCTTTAGGTCAACAAGTTCAGCAGCTCAGTGGTTTAGTCCACTGCGCCACTATTGTGTGCCAAATTTGGTTCAATTCCATCATTGGTTCAATTCCATCATTGGTGGAGTTCACAATGCTCTTTGATTGTAGGTGAACTATACACAATGCTCTTTGATTGTAGGTGAACTATAAATCCCAGCAACTACAACTTCGAAATTACAAATTCAATCCCCCCACAACTCCACCAGTATTCAGATTTGAGTGTTGGGTATTTGTGCCAACTTTGGTCCAGTGAATGAAAATATATTTTGCATATCAGATATTTGCATTAAGATTCATAACAGTAGCAAAATGACAGTTATGAAGTAGCAACGAAAATAATGTTATGGTTGGGGGTCACCACAACATGAGGAACTGTATTAAGGAGTCGTGGCATTAGGAAGGCTGAGAAACACTGGTTTAGAGGTTGCACAGCAAGAAGCGTGGCTTCCCTCTCACTCTGTATTGGGTGAGGGAATGGCAGCTGGTCCTGGATCACTCCCATCTGGAACTTGGAAGGAGAGAGGAAGGACGAAGGGTTGGAGGGAGAAGGAACAGCTGCCACCAATATCTCTTGAGATACTGATCAGAGAGAGAGGGGGAATGGATGTGCTGGCTGGAACCTCCCCCCTTCCCCCTTTCAAACAACAGACAAAGCCTATGGCTGGAATGTGGTCTGGCCTTTGGCAGCTCCACACTCTGCCATTCCTCGCGTGCATTTTATGACCTCCAAATTGGGAACAGCCATTGTTGACTTGAGAGGTATTTGAACTGCATAAATGGTTTGCAAACCAGCAGTGGTTAATTGGATTATTCCAGGGGACTGGCCCTTGGGGAGATTGGTTTGGGAGCTGCAAATTCTTGGCCCGTTTCCAAAACCCTTCTTTCTCTTTGATGCAGGAAGAAGACATGCCGGATGAGGTGAACATCGACACTCTCCTAGAGATGGGCACAGACAGCGAGAGGGCTAAGAAGCTGCAGGTTGGTAGCTGTTTTGCAACTACTTCATCACATTTACTAAATTCCACTGAGTGCTACACTTAAAATCCGGGAAGCCACTCTTGTCATCACATTAGTAAACACACTAGAAAATATGCAAAGAATGCTCTATTCTACACTTGCTACTTCATCACACTAGAGAATGAATCCACTTTAAATCCGGTTGCTGCCTCCTGCAGAATTTTGGGGTTTGTAGTATAAGGAACCCCCAGTGGCACAGTGGGTTGAGCTGCTGAGCAAATATGCAAAGAATGCTCTATCCTACACTTGCCACTTCATCACACTAGAGAATGAATCCACTTTAAATCCGGTTGCCGCCTACTGCAGAATTTTGGGCTTTGTAGTATAAGGAGCCCCTGGTGGCGCAGTGGGTTGAGCTGCTGAGCTTGTTGACTGAAAGGTCGCAGGTTCGATTCCGGGGAGCGGCGTGAGCTTCCGCTGTCAGCCCCAGCTTCTGCCAACCTAGCAGTTCGGAAACATGCAAATGTGAGTAAGTAAGTGTAAGTAATTTTATTGATTAGCCCTTAGGCCATATCACAATAAGAAACAGAACAACAAGGACTGTCAAAACCTTATCACACTCCACTTAGTAAGTTAAAATTACGACACTTATAACAATACAGTAAATAAATATGATAAAATGTGATAAAACTGATAAACTTATCAAGCTGAGTATATACATCATATTTCATTATCACCCCTACAAATGTGAGTAGATCAATAGGTACTGCTGTGGCAGGAAGGTAACGGCGCTTCATGCAGTCATGCTGGCCACATGACCTTGGAGGTGTCTATGGACAACGCTGGCTCTTCGGCTTAGAAATGGAGATGAGCACCACACCCCAGAGTCAGGCATGACTGGACTTAATGTCAGGGGACAACCTTTACCTTAGCCTAGTATAGGGAGGAGCCTTTGACAGCCTCACTGAACTACAAACCCCAGAATTCTGCAGGAGGCAGAAACTGGATTTAAAATGGATTCATTCTCTAGTGTGATGAAGTAACAAGTGTAGGATAGCGCATTCTTTGCGTGATTTATTTATTTATTTATTTTATTGCTTGAACTTATATGCCGCCACTTCCCTGGGGCCGGAGCGGCTTACAAGAATGGCTAAAATCTAACACAATTTAAAAACAATTTAAAACAATTTAAAAACAGCAATATCAATCAATAAATCAAAGGCCTGTCGAAACAGGTATGTCTTACAAGCCCTGCGAAAAGTTGATAAGTCCTGCAAGGCACGGACTTCAGGTGGCAGAGTATTCCAGAGTGATGGTGTCACTGCTGTAAAGGCTCTGCGTCTGGTTGCTGTTAGACACAAGGTCTTGACACTGGGAATTTCCAATAGATCTTGGTCCTCAGAACAGAGGGATCTCTGGGGTTGGTAGGGGGTGAGGCAGTCCCTCACCCCCTACCAATGCTCGTGAGGGCGAGCATTTTTAAAAAATGTTTCAGGAAGTGGTGGGGAAGTGCATTTTTTGAACTCATCTGGACGTTTGGCCATTTCTGTAATGTGATGGCATCCGTTGCTCCTGGTTTACAAACGTTTCCCCAATTTGTGGGAGGAGCCAAAAGTAACCTTGTTAGGGAAAGCATTACCTTTTGCTCACTGAGTTTTTACTTTGCCAGAACTTCCTTCCATGATATGTCTATGCCCTGTGTTGCATAGGAAAGCTGGGAGAGAGGGATTATTATTATGCCATGTCACCATGCTGTGCAGTCCTGAGAGTTGTAGTTCCCCAAGGTCCATACGCTTCTCTTGGTGCATTTATGCTATGGAATGAATGCTCTTGGGCCCCACTTTAAATACCATAACTCTATACTATGTGGTGCTGGGAATTATAGCTTCCCAAGGTCCCTATCCTTCTCTGTGGGGCAGCCAAGAGAGAGGAAAGGAGGGAAGGAGAGACACAGAGACCACTTCATCTCATTAGGCAGGGAAGTGTGTGGCAGAGGAGAGCAGAGAAGAGCTCAGTCTTACTCAGTTTTTTAATGAAACAGATATTTTCCCTACCTTCTATCGCAATGTTAAATTACTGAATTTAACAATTACTGAGTTTCCTTTCAGTATTCTTTCACCTGCAGAGACTGGGTCCTGCCCGGCGCCCACCATCCCACAATTTCATTGTAAACCTGGGAGCAACAAATGCCATCACATTACAGAAATGTCCAGATGATTTTAAAAAATCCACTTCCCCATTACCTCCTGAAACGTTTTTTAAAAATGCTCGCCCTCATGCTTAAAATTCCCAAAGAATGCTCCATCCTACACTTGGTTTCATTTTCATGAAAATGAAAATGTGATGAAATAGTAATCAGGACCCCAGATTCAATGGCGGGGGTCCAACGTGTGCCCACTTAATTGAGAAAGGGCTTTGAACCTGACGAACCAAAGCAAATTGGAGTCAACCAAGATTAAGGGCAAGATGTGAGCTGTTGGTGGAGCCATGGTCCCTGAATCCACATGGAGTGATTATATCATTTGGCGACGATTAGATATCACATTAAAGTAATTGCCTGGAGCGTGCTGAGAGGGCATAAATGCACGCAGGAAATTCCGGTCCCAGCAATGGGAGTGTTCCAAGTTTCATCGTTCTCATAACATGAGCTGAGGAATTGGCTTTGAGCATAGAAGAAATGACATGAGATTATGCCAGGGATGGGGAACAATGCCCACAGGGCATTTGTGGGTTCACATAATGAAAACAGAACCAGTCGAGTGTAGCAGGTTGAATGTTGTTCTTGGACTCAGACAGAATAGGATTGAAATTCCCACTTAGTTGGCGAAACCCACTGGGTGACCTTGGGCAAGTCACATGCTCTCAGCTGGAGGCAACGTGCAAAGGAGACCCAAGGAAAGGATAGGGAGACGAGGTGTCAGAGCCCGCCTGATAACAACAAATACTGGAAGTGGAGCAAAGAGTCAGGCTGCCGTTTTCCTCCTTTGGCACCAAGTATTAGTTCATCTAATGGAGAATCCCAGGAAGCTCAGACATCCTCCAATTTTTCAAAACAGGTCACAGTTCAAATGGGAACTAGTTTGGTCCAAATTCCATCTTTGGTGGAGTTCAGAGTGCTCAGTGATTGCAGGTGAACTATACATCCCAGTACCTACAACTGCAAAAGGTCCAGGTCAATTCCCCTCAAAACCCACCAGTATTTGAATTTGGGCACATTGGGTATGCATGCCAAGTTTGGTCCAGATTCATCATTGTTTGGGTTCATTGTGCGCTCTGGATGTAGGTGAACTACAACTCCTATAAATCCCTCCAAAGACCTTCAGTATGTTTTGTTGGCCATTGGAGTTCTGTGTACCAAGTTATTTTCAGGTCCATCATTGGTGGAGTTCAGAGTGGTCTGAGACTGCAGGTGAACTATACATCCCAGGATCTACAACTCCTATAAATCACGGTGAATTCTCTCCACTATGAACCCAAACAATGATGGATCTGGACCAAACTTGGCATGCACACCTGATACTCCCAAATTTGAATACTGGTGGGTTTTGAGGGGAGTTGTAGGTACTGGGATTTATAGTTCACCAGCAATCAGTGAGCACTCTGAACTCCACCGAATATGGAATTGGACCAAACTTAGCACTCAGAACTGCCATGACTGGCAAAAAATACCGAAGGTCTTTGGGGAAAATTTACCTTGATTTGGGGGAGTTGTAGTTCACCTACATCCAGAGAGCACTGTGAATCCAAACACAGATGGATGTGGACCAAACTAGGCACACATACCAGATATGGCAAAATTTGGTTACTGGAGAGGTTTGGGGAGAACTGACCTTCCTTTCTGGAAGTTGTAATTCACCCACAACCAGAGAAACAGTGACCTCCACCGATGATGGACCTGGACCAGACTAGGCACACAGAACTTCCGTGACTATCTCAACCTATTGGAGGGGTTTGAGGGGACTGACTCACCATAGTGAGAGATGTAGTTTACCCTACAGCCAAAGAGCACATCGAACCCCTCCGATGATGCAGCTAGAGCAAACTTGCCCAACATATCAAACTTTAAGTACTGATGGAGTTTTTCAGGGTTAATCTGGCATGATGTGAGTTGTAATTCACTCACAGCCTTTTGCATTTCGTACAATTAAAAAATTGACTTTTTCAAATAACCTGAGCAATGCCAGGTACCCAAGCTAGTAAGAAGTATAAAATCAAAATTTCAAAAAGGAAGTGCAACAAATTGTTTATTTACTTCATGCATATTTTTAATGTCCTGTGGAGAAACTCATGTGAGGCTTTCCAGACTGTTCCATTTGGGTGGGAGATGGGTGCTGATCCTGACTCTGCAATGTTTGGGGCTGGCCTTGCTCCTTCCCGTCTTATTTATACTTCTTTTTCTTTCCAGAGTATCTTGGAAACATGCCACAACAACACAGAGGTGCGTATTTTTGTTCCCTGGACCCCAGTAACTTCCAGACCTTTTCCTGGGCCCTTGTGCGAGGAAAATGTTTAGACTCATGTCAACTATTGAAGAGTTGTTGTGTTGGAGAACTTCATGTGGAGGTGGAGGGATAAACAGGAATTTGCCAATTCCGTGCATGATCCCTGGAGGTTCTGCCAGCACCCCACACATTTCCTAAGGCCCTCTCTCTGGTATGGATGTGCAGACGCTGCAAAGGGGATTCCTGGAGACCCAGTCCAATGGATGTTGCAGGCAATGCCAGCTCCTGCCTTTGGTTCTGTTCCCACCAGCCAAGATTCTACATCAAGCCATTCCAGGACAATGTCCGGACTGCACAATCCCATATCTGCCCCATTATCTCTTTCTCTCTTGGTTAGGATTCAAGGGACTGTTCTCCAGGTCTTTGTTCTCCATCCTCACCACCCTTACAGTTTCCTGCTCGGCTGCTTCCATTGGGAGGAGAGAGATCGGGAGGTCATGCAGATACTAATGAATCAACTTATCTCAGCAGGGAAGGAAACGAGGGTGTGTTTGCAGATGGAGTGTGCCCTCCTGTCCCTTCCACTCCAAGCAACATCAGTCAAATTCTCTCCCTGCGCGCTCTCTCTCTCTCCTCCCCACTGATAAGTGGTAGTTCCTCCTGGGACAACAATTGTGTAGGTAGTTCGGAGTACTATGTCGACAGCTATAGAATAGCACCTGATATTCTAAGTAAATCTACACATATCTTCTGTACATACATCTTCTACACACATAATAAATATATAATAATATACATCACAATAATCTATATAAATAAAAATGTAATGTTAGTTTGTGGGATTAACAGGACTCAAAAACCACTGGGGGAATTGACCCCAAATTTGGACACAATAAACCTAACAACCCAATGTATGTCCTTCACTCATAAAAACACTGAAAAACACGGCAGAATGGACTTTAAAAGCCCCAAAAAAGCTAAATGACGAAAAACTAAATGACAATACAGAAAAAAGGGAGAAGGGAGAAGAAAGAAAGAAAGAGAAGAAAGAAGAAGAAAGGGAGAAGGAAGCATGGAAGCAAAGAGGAAGGAAGGAAAGAGTAGAGAAGGAAGAAAGGAGAGAAAAAGGGAGGGAAAGAAAAAGGGAAGGAAAGGAAAGTTAGAGAGAAAGAAGGAGAGAAGGAAAGAAAAAAGAGAAAGAAGGAAGAAAGGAGGGGAAGGGGGGAAGATGTAGAGAAAGAGGGAGGGAAGGAAAGATGGAAAGAGAAAGAAAGAAGAGAGAAGGAAAGGGAAGGAAGGAAAGAGGGTGAAGGAAGGAGGGAAAGAGGGAGAGTTGGCCACAGCAACGCATGGCGGTTACAGCTAGTTATATAAATAAAAATGTAATGTTAGTTTGTGGGATTAACAACTCAAAAACCACTGGACGAATTGCTGCCAAATTTGGCCACAAGACATTGACTAACCCAAGGAGTGACCATCACTCAAAAAAAAAACACCTGAGTTTATCATTTGGGAGTTGTAGTTGCTGGGATTTATAGTTCACCTGTAATCAAAGAGCCTTCTGAACTTTACCAATGATGGAATTGAACCAAACTCCCATGACCAACAGAAAATACTAGAAGGGTTTGGTGGGCATTGACGTTGAGTTTGGGAGTTGTAGTACACCTACATCCAGGAAGCAGGGCAAACAATGATGGATCTGGACCAAACTTGGCACGAATATTCCATATGCCCAAATATGAACACAGATGGAGTTTGGGGGAAATAGACCTTGACAATTGGGAGTTGTAGTTACTGGGATTTATAGTTCACCTACAATCAAAGAGCATTCTGAACCCCACCAATGACAGAATTGGGGCAAACTTCCCACACAGAACCCCCATGACCAACAGAAAATACTTAAGGCCAGCATACAAGTTGAATAGGTTGGGTGAGAGTATACAACCCTGCCGTACACCTTTCCCAATCTTGAACCAGTCTGTTGTTCCATGGTCAGTTCTTACTGTTGCTACTTGGTCCTTATACAGATTCCTCAGGAGAGAGACAAGGTGATTTGGTATATAATAATAAGAATAAAACTTTATTTGTACCCTGCTACCATCTTCCCAAGGGACTCGGTGCGGCTTACATAAGGCCAAGCCCGCAGTACATCGTTAAAACAAAGGCAATAACAAAGTAATCAATACAAAACAGTAAAATAAATCTCATAAACAACAATTAACAATAACATACAAGCATACCACCAAGAACTTGCCACAATTTATTATGATCCACACAGTCAAAGGCTTTAGAATAGTCAATGAAGCAGAAGTAGATGTTTTTCTGAAACTCCCTGCCTTTCTCCATTATCCAGCGGATATTGCCAATCTGGTCTCTCGTTCCTCTGCCTTTTCTAAACCCAGCTTCAACATCTGGCAACTCTCGCTCCATGTATTGCTGGAGTCTTCCTTGCAGGATCTTGAGCATTACCTTACTGGCATGAGAAATAAGGGCCACTGTACGGAAGTTTGAGCAGTCTTTCGCATTTCCCTTTTTTGGTATGGGGATATAAGTTGATTTTTTCCAGTCTGATCATTCTTGTGTTTTCCATATTTGCTGGCATATGGCATGCATCACCTTGACAGCATCATCTTTCAAGATTTTAAACAGTTCAGCAGGGCAGAATATAAATACTGTAAATAAAATAAATAAACTAACCCTCCCCTCCACTGCCTCCCTTTTGCAGGAGTTCATCCGGGAGTTGCTGGGGAAGCTGCGAGGCCTCCGGACAGAACACGTCCTTCGACGGACGAGCCCCAGCGGCCGAGGAGATGTAGAGCCAGGCACTGAAATACGGGACCAAGTCTGAAGTCGGCGGGCAAGGCAGAGCTTGTTAACTACTTGGCCGCAGCTGTTGCCAGGATGGACTGGTTTCCTTGTCATGGTGGTCCCTGGCTGCAGAGCTGCTGCTGCGTGTGTTGTGGCATTGTCATCGTTCCAGCTGCCAAATTCCCAACTGTGTTGAGCTGGGCAGATGTTTGCCCAAGGCAGCTGAATTGCAGGGTCTGCGAAGCTGCCTTTCGAAATATTACCTCTTCCCACGTTGTATAAATCTGTATAGTGTATCCTCTGCTTTCGGGGTTAACCTGTAATAAAGTGCGGTGTCTTTATTTCTTGTGGCTCAGAGCAGGCAATTCAATCAAGAAGGGCAAGTATGCAGAAAGGCATGCACGTTGGAAAGTTGGAAACGATGCCTGCCACTTGCCCCTGAGAAAAAGCTCCTGCTTGTGCTAATAATAATAATAATAATAATACTTTATTTGTACCCCGCTACCATCTCCTCAAGGGACTCGGTGCGGCTTACAGTTCCCATGCTATGAAGACCTGAAGAAGAGAAGGCTGACAGGAGATATGATAGTCATGTATAAATATGTGAGAGGAAGTCATAGGGAGGAGGGAACAAGCTTGTTTTCTGCTGCCCTGGAGACTAGGATGCGGAACAATGGCTTCCAACTACAAGAAAGGAGATTCCGTCTGAACATTAGGAAGACCTTTCTGACTGTGAGAGCCATTCAGCAGTGGAACTCTCTGCCCCAGAGTGTGGTGGAGGCTCCTTCTTTGGAAGCTTTTAAACAGAGGCTGGATGGCTATCTGTCGGGGGGTGCTTTGAATGCAATATTCCTGCTTCTTGGCAGGGGGTTGGATTGGTTGGCCCATGAGGAATCTTCCAACTCTATGATTCTATGATTCCAAAGCCTTGGAGACCGCATAGTTGTATTCCACAATTCAAGTCAACATCTCTGAGGGCCCTTCTACACTACCGTATCAAATCCAGATTATATGCTTTGAACTGGATTATATGGCAGTGTCAAAGAGACCGGGCGGTTGATGTACTAACTGAGGCAGTGGTTCTCAACCTTCCCAATGCCGCAACCCCTTAATACAGTTCCCATGTTGTGGTGACGCCCCAACCATAACATTATTTTTGTTGCTACTTCATAACTGTAGTTTTGCTACTGTTATGAATCGTAATGAAAATATCTGATACGCAGGATGTATTTTCATTCACTGGACCAAATTTGGCACAAATACCTGATATGCCCAAATTTGAATACTGGTGAGGTTGGGCCAGGGTTGATTTTGTCATTTGGAAGTTGTAATTGCTGGGGTTTATTGTTAACTTACAATCAAAGAGCATTCTGGACCCCACCAATGATGGAATTGAACCAAACCAGACACACAGAACTCCCATGACCAACAGAAAATACTGGAAGGGTTTGGTGGGCATTGACCTTGAGTTTTAGAGTTGTGGTTCACCTACATCCACAGAGAGAACCCTAACTCTAACCCAAACTTGGCACAAATACTAAATATGCCCAAATGTTAACTCTGGTGGAGTTTGGGGAAAATAGATGTTGACATTTGGGAGTTGTAGTTGCTGAGATTTTATAGTTCACCTACAACCAAAGAGCATTCTGAACCCCATCAACGATAGAATTGGGCCAAACTTCCCACACAGAACCTCCATGACCGACCAAAAATACTGGAAGGGTTTGGTGGGCATTGACCTTGAGTTTTGGAGTTGTAGTTCATCTACATTTGGATTCAAACAATGATGGATCTGGACCAAATTTGGCAGGAATACTCAATATGCTCAAAGGTGAGCACTGGTGAAGTTTGGGGAAAAGAGACATTGACATTTGGGAGCTGTGATTGCTGGGATTTATAGTTCGCCTACAACCAAAGAGCATTCTGAACCCACCAATGATAGAATTGGGCCAGAGTTCCCCCACAGAACCCCAATGACCAACAGAAAATACATGTTTTCTGATGGTCTTTGGCAACCTCTCTGACACTCGCCTGACGAACCCCTAGGGATCTCAACCCCCAAGTTTTCCTGAAGTGAGACTGGTCAATGAAGTAGTCCTTTGGACTCAAACCATACTGAATAAGCCAGTTCCCTTTTTTTTTGGACCCCGCAAGCTGATTATTTGACCTCTACTTCTGTGCAGCACCCTTCCTGCCTTATTCTCATGTTGGAAGGAGTTGTAGTTCCCATTGTATCTTCAACCAATGTGCCAGCTGCGTCAACTCTTGTCATGTGCCTTCAAGTTAGCTTGGACTTCAAACTGGCACATCCTGGTGTTCTCTTGGCAGAGGACATTTGCCATTTCTTTGCACTGAGGATAGCCTATCGTATTTGATATTTCTTGGAAATCTTGAAGTTCTAGCTAGACCTGAACCTGCTTAGCTTCCAGGATTAGGCGGTTGCATTGTGGGCCTTCCTAAACCTCCCAGTCCTTGGCTGCAGAAGAGGCACGAGGGAACTTTGGCCTTCCAGATGTTTTGGACTTCAACTCCCACCATTCCCAACAGCCTCAGTCCCTTTCCTTTTCCCCCTGAGGCTGTTGGGAATGGTGGGAGTTGAAGTCCAAAACACCTGGAAGGCCAAAGTTTCCCCATACCTGAGCTATAAGTCCAGCCTAGCTGTCAATGCCACCTCTATCAGGATTGAGGCAATAGCAAGCTGGATGTGTTTGTGTTTACCCCCAAGCCTGCCTATCTGAATAGTCCATCACTTCCCTTGTTTCTGCTCAAAACAAGCACATGGACCAGACCAAGTTGCAATTCCAGCTTGGGTGCAACTGGCGCAATGGCCATAAGCCCTGAGGTCCTGTTCCAAACAGTGCCTCGCCCTTCAGCTTGGCTTGCAACATAATAATGTAGGAACCTTTGCAGCGGTGCTTGTTTACAACAGAGAATAAACAGCAGCTGCGCGCAAGTGGCTTCATCCTTGTCTTTTTGGGGCCAGGATGCACTTAGCAGTGAAGAGCAGACATCTCTTTAAAATGGCTGGGAGACAAAAAGGATGTTGACTCTGATGTGGGTCTTCTGGGGAAAAGCTCAACGGAGTCTTGGCAAAAACAAGGAGATTCCATCTGAACACTAGGAAGAATTCCTGACTGTGAGAGCTGTTCAGCAGTGGAACTCTCTGCCCCGGAGTGTGGTAGAGGCTCCTTCTTTGGAAGCTTTTAAACAGAGACTGGATGGCCATCTGTCGGGGGTGCTTTGAATGAAAATTTCTTGCTTCTTGGCAGGGGGTTGGACTGGATGGCCCATGAGGTCTCTTCCAAATCTATAATTCTATTCTATGATTCTATAAGGATGAGTTCGATGTGTTGTCGAAGGCTTTCATAGCCGGAATCAGTGGGTTGTTGTGAGTTTTCCGGGCTGTAAGGCCATATTCTAGAAGCATTCTCTCCTGACATTTTGCCCACATCTATATCAGGCATCTTTAGAGGTGGTGAGGTCTGTTGGAAACAAGGCAAGGGAGGTTTATATATCTTTGGGATGTCCAGGGTGGGAGAAAGAACTCTTGTCTGTTTGAGGCAAGTGAGAATGTTGCAATTGGCCACCTTGGTTATTTATTTATTTATTTATTTATTTATTTATTTATTATGACATTTATATGCCGCCCTTCTCACCCTGAAGGGGACTCAAAGCAGCTTACAAAATATATATACATACAATATATTGTATTTTTAGCATAGTACAATATCAGTATTACAGCTGTGACCAGCAGTGCTGCAGAATTTGAGGAGGCACGAGTGGAGGGTGAAAGAGTGAAACGTGCCAGGAGGAAGGCGCGTCAAGCCAACCCCGACCGGGACCACCTTCCACCTGGAAACCAATGCCCTCACTGCGGAAGAAGATGCAGAGCAAGAATAGGGCTCCACAGCCACATACGGACCCACAGGGAAATCCATAATGGAAGACCATCTTACTCGTCCAACGAGGGATCGCCTAAGTAAGTAAGTATTATATTATTTTACTATATTGTACTATACCATTATATTGTAATATTATTAGTAATATTACATGTAATATAAATATATAATTATAATATAATATTATTATTAGTAGTATTATATTGCATTACATTACAATATTATAAAGGGATCTATTTATTTATTTCTTATAGTATATTATATTATATTATATTATATTATATTATATTATTAGAACAGAGCCAAGGTGGAACTGTCCCCTGGCCCCCTCTCTCTTCACTCTGGCCCAGAGCACAGTTGGTGCTGGGAGAAGGGGTCCCCATCTGATGACATATGCAGGAGACAAAATGGAACTGTCCTCTGCCCCCCTTTCTCTGATTAGCATTGAATGGTCTTTTAGCTCCAAAGACTAGCTGATTTCTGCCTGAGGTAATCCTTTGTTGGGAGGTGTTAGCTGGCCCTGATTGTTCCATGCCAGGAATTCCCCTGTGTTTTGAGTGTTCCTCTTTATTACTGTCCTAATGTTAGAGCTTTTTAATACTGGTCGCCAGATTTGGTTCATTTTCGTGGTTTCCTGACACAGTATATTATTTGAGAACACAGAAATGCTGGACCGCTCTAACAACCACCGTGTCAGACTACACAGAGAAGCCATTCAAATCCATAAGCAGGTGGACAATTTCAACAGAAAGGAGGAAACCATCAAGATGAACAAAATCTGGCTACCAGTATTAAATAACTCTAAAATTATGTTATTTTAAATGGTGTATTTTAATATTTTGATAAATGTTTTTAATGTTTATATATTGTGTCCAGGCATTGAATGTTTGCTGTGTATATGCAGTGCTCCGCTCTGAGTCCCCTTTGGGGTGAGAAGGGCGGAATATAAATGTTTTAAATAAATAATAAATAAAATCAGGACAGTAAATAAAGAGGAACACTCAAACAACAGTGGAATTCCAGACATGAAACAATCAAGACCAGCTAACACCTCCCAACAAAGGATTTCTCCAGGCAGGAAGAAGCTAGGCTTTGAAACTACAAGCCTATTCTAAGTGGTCAGTTGCAACATTCACACTTGTCTCTAGCAGACAAGAGTTCTTTCTCCCACCCTGGACATTCCATAGATATATAAACCCCACTTGCCTTGTTTCCAACAGATCTTGCAACCTCCAAAGATGCTTGATATAGATGTGGGCAAAATGTCAGGAGAGAATGCTTCTGGAATATGTCCATACAGCCTGGAAAACTCATAGCAACCAAGTGATTCCAGTCATGAAAGCCTTTGACAACACATCGAGTTCATCCTTGTTTGTGCCGAGACTCAAGAGCCCTTCCGTCTGCATCCGGGCTGCCACAGTCCAGAAAACGCACAGCAACCC